TTATGGGCAATTAAATTCTGAAAAAATATATCTGTCGTATATAAACATTTCAGGCTGTCAACATCAACCACGAAATTTATCTTTCAACTCTGTTTTTTCCACCAAAATAATATTCTAATAAGAGCCCCCTATTTCTAATTTTGAGAGCGCCCTGGGCGCTTATTACGTCGTATACGGTAGTCGGAATCTTACAATCGACTCTGCTTTATGCAGAGATTTCTATTGGATCTTGGGTCTTGTCACTTTGTTTCTGGTCCTTGCGATTAAGGCGTAGGTCATTGATATATATATGATATTATGTTGGACTTACCATTCTCTCTCTGTCTCTCTCTCTCTCTCTATCTTCTCTCTCTCTCATAAAGGGGGGTCACGGGTGGCCCAGTCGTCTAAGGCGCCGCGATTCGCTGTGCAGAGTTGCGCCAGAAACCTATGATTGTGGGTTAGAATCCCGGTTCACCCCGATTATGTTTCTAGGTTTGTCAGCACCATACCCGTGCTCGTGGGTTTCATCGAAGTGGTAAACGTCTAAGACCTGCATCACTTGGGGCTTTCCTCCCACATTAAGCTGACACGCTGTGATATAACTGTAATACTGTTAAAAAGCCGCGTTAAACTCACTCACTCACTCTCATAAAGGATTTGCACACAGACACACCCGCCCAAAAGAGCTTTTATTACAGCGAATATGGTAGCAGAAATATTCTTTACAAAGGTATTAATAGAACCATGGGGTTGTACAGTGGTTAAAGCGTTTGCTCGTCACGCCTAGGACCCGGGTTTGCTTCCCCACATGGGTACAACGTGGGAAGCCAATTTCTGGTGATGGAATATTGCTGAAAATGGCATTAAACCATATTCACTCACTCACTAAGGCACCCTCTGGAGTTGTTACTGACCCATACTCACCCATACTCACCTTAATGAAATCAGATATCTGATCGTCCCCCACAGTCGTTTCATGGTGTTTTGTTTTGTTGTAATCAGAAGGTCAAGGTTGCAGTTAGTTATCAGGAAGTACATTACTGATTTGACCCTTGTGAAATGCATTGTTTCTGTTGCTGGGTTCATGTCATGATAACCGGATTTTGTGTGAATCAATATAACCAGTTATTCACTACTCCATATGAACTACATTTGCAATAGCCTGGACTCGTACTTGAATATTCAGGATTTGCTAGCACGCGTTATGAGCTCTTCAAATCTATATTACAATATTTTGTACATTGGTGGCATCCACACAAGGATAAATCAGGTTAACATCAGTTGTTCGCACAGCTGTTGCTTCAGATAATATAGGTTGAATGTTTAACTTCTTATCCATATTCAGGGATGAGAATTTTCAGATGATACTTGGAATTCCACAGATTTCGGTATGTCAAGGGTAACTTTTGTGAAACATGCTAAATTACAGTATATATACGTCTAAATCATATATTCTCCACCCGCCCCCTGCTAACCTTCAGTGTTTTTTATGTATACATTCTCCTCCCTGCATATTGTATTTTACATGTTATATTGAGTAGATAATATTGTATTATATGGAATATGATAGGAGTGCTTCAGATTACTTGGTCTGGGTTATTGATTTATATTAGTAAAAGTAATCGTAAAAGGTGACTATGCTTGTCGTAGGAGGCGACTAACGGGAAAGGGTGGTCAGGCTCACTGACTTGATTGATAAATGTCATCGTATCCCAATTGCGTGGATCAATGCTCATGATGTCAATCACAGGATTGTCTGGTTCAGATTTGATTATTTACAGACCGCCGTCATATAGCTGGAATATTGCTGAATGCGGCGTTAAACAACAAACAAACAAACAAACAAAGTACAGGTAATGGCAGCTATCAGCCAACTCAAGACGTGCTTTCAGGGTCATTGGGTATCATTTAAACAGATAATGGGGTTGTTAATCTGACGACTTGTATTTGTTTGGTTCATCAATGATTAAGGAAATGTAGGGATGTCATTATATACTTCTCAAAGGAAATATAGGAGCCCCTGAGTCTTCTATATTACCAAATTTAAAGCAGCATTAGAAATTGTACTAGTCCTGTAGTCCTTGCCAAACTGCCCCATAGTTAAGGTATCATAAGGAATACTAGAAATTTACCATTTTCAAGGGTTATCATTTTAAGAAGTAGTGGACTATAAATGTTAGTTTCTACCGCTGTAATGCTGCAAAACTGCAAGACCAGGGACCATTGAAGTCCCTGTTCCCCTTGCCGATAAGTAGTGGAAACCCAGCTTTTAACATGTGTGATGGATTTTCTTATGAATTTTGCGAGGTTCATGTAGGCAGCTTTACATGCTTCTTACAGAGCTACAGATAAAAACTGCGTATTTGCGTAAAATACCCCGCAAAATATTCAAAACCCAATTACTTTCAATTAACTTGCATACAGAAACGCATGCATTAAATGAAAAACTCAAATTATAAAAACAGCACACGTAAATACCCAATGAAGCTTTTCCAGCATGTGTACCATGGAGCTAATTTCTGAAACACAGAGCTAATTTACTCTCTGAAGTCAAGCCTATATTTAGAACCGTACATCTAAAACATTTTTTGATTTTTTTTTTTTTTTTAATCTGAAAATGTCATTTTGGGAAAAACCCAATAGAGTGATGAATAGATGAGTGAAAAGAAAATGTCTTTGTCTCCTGCAGAATCACTGCAATTTCACAATCATGTGAAGAATAATCACTCATAACACATCATTCCTGCGCCATCCTTCCTGCACCAGCCATCAGCAGCTGAGATAGGATGTATACCATGGACATAAACAGATTACATTCAATCATGCAGACAAATTTTTCACCCCTGGGAAAGACCAAATCTGTCACACCTTCCTGTAACAGCAAAAAAATGTCCTTTGTTACAAGATCATCGTGGCAAGCAAGTAAACTTGCAGCCAATGTTAAAACACCTGGGAAGGAAACAACCTGTTACCATGGTTACAGTTTAAAATAGATAAGGCCAAACATGTCCAGTCTGGGATGTATCCTCTGCAGTAGGGTTGGTCCTCCTTCCTGATTTGTACACAAAAGTCAACATAGACACACGCAGGTGAGGTGAGGTGAAATGGGGTTGAACGTCGCGTCCAAGATTATTGCACTTATATAGCGACGTGCATGCACGTGTGTGTGTGGCTGCTTGTACTAGTCCGGACTGATGCCGATTTATAGTGCTGGCACACTGAGATACCATGCCGCAGTTTAACATGAATACCCCACTCAGACACAGTATACTGACTCCGTGCCGATCAGTCCTTGTTTTAGCATTGATCCACGCAGGGATCTATGACATGCATCAAACCAAGTCAGCGAGCCACTTTGTCCTATCCTTTCCTACCCCGGATCTTCACAGGTTGAGGCACCTTAGACAACTGGGCCATTCGTACCCCAAGAAGAGTTTAGAACAGCTCCAGATAACTTTTTGAGCAATTGAACTTTTTATTGGATATTCTGTTTTATCATTACCAAGTTTGAAAAATAGTTTAAGGACTTTTTAAAAAATGAAAATTAGCGATTTGTTAATGTCATTTGTTGAGATTTTATGGAACATTGATCACTCGAACAAAAACTTACCCTTCTTTGTTACTTTGAAAGAGATTAAATGTTATTCTTCCCATAGTATTTGGTTTAATCAACAATATTATACATCTCTACTCTTGTGTTGCTCTTCGTTACTGCAGGGGGCAGTGGGGTAGTCTTGTAGTTTAAGTGTTTGCTCGTTACACCGAGGGCCCGAGTTCGATTCCCGACATGGGTACAATGTGATATTGCTAAAAGCTGCGTAAAACCATACTCACTCACTCACTCACTCACTCACTCACTCACTCACTGTGTCAGACCTTATAGACATCAACTTTGTGGGGCAGTGGGGTAGCCTTGTGAACTCCTCAAACTGGAGTCCTGGGTTCGATTCCGGGTAGTAGTGTAACAATACGGCAATACAGTATTACATCCAGGTACGAGGCCCACGATACAATACATTGATTTACAATCCCTTTGTGAGTTGGACAATAAATTATGTTTAAAACAAGGGATCATGATTACATGAAAATTTGATTAAGCCAGCAGACTCGTGCCTTTTTCATGCCACTACTTTTGAAACTTGATTTGCCTGGGCGTGCAGGCCAGCATGAATATTCAAAATGTCAAAATGTTTGAGCTGACTGGGGGGTGGTTGGGTAGCCTAGTGGTTAAAGCGTTTGCTCGTCATGCCGAAGATCCGGGTTCGATTCCCAATATAGATACTATGTGTGAAGCCCATTTCAGGTGTCCCCTGCCATGATATTGCTGGAATATTGCTAAAAGCTGCATAAAACCATACTCACTCACTTGAGCTGACTGGTCCGATCACTTTCAGTAGATTTTAGTCTTGATATATGGACTATTATTAGCTGAGCTTACGAGACCGAATAGACTTTTATTAGACTCAGGCTTCGGACTAGTGACTAAGCCACAGACTGCTCACATGAGACTGTGTCTGCAGACATTTCTGAGAGATAGCATTTCCTAATTGACACTCAACTAGAAATATAGTAGAAACAAAATCTTATTGCTGTACAGCTTCATGTATTGCAAGAAAAGAGGAGGATTCATGGTAAATAGAGCTTGGAATATATTTGGTATAACTTCCAAGTTAATATCACAGAGACAGACACTGAATATGAGCTTCAGCATCATATGGGAAAAAACTGCTTCATCAGCTCTCGGGAGGAGATCCTCTTGACACAATTAATCCAATTTTGTGTATCAACTTTGTCTTGAGTGTAACCATGGCAACAAGACAAACATTTACTGAACTTGAATTCTTGATCCTGTCATCAGATAGAGCTTCTAGGATTTATTGGTGACATGAAGATTGTGACATAGTAAAATAATCACTTGTTTGTTGCAGTGGGAATTAGGGGAACAAATTCAATATTTTTTTGTTTTCAATGTGGATGAGACATTGGAATATGTCTTTAATTATCTTTGTTTCTTTCAGAGAACAAATTTTACGAGTGAAAAATGACGAAAACATTCCATTCCTGTTGGTTGGGAACAAGTGTGACTTAGAGGAGAAGCGACAAGTTAGTAACGATGAAGCCACAAAACGGGCCCAGGAATGGAAGGTGGTGTACGTGGAAACCTCAGCAAAGACAAGGACAAACGTGGACAAGGTAAAATATACTATCAATTCATGTTTTTCATCGTTAACATTTTGTTGGCTGATTTTAGGTACTAAATTTTGTTATCTTTTTGGTTTTGATGGTGTTGCATTCTGGGAAGAATGTCGGCCATTTTGAATATTTTCACTTTATGTGTCTTGCATGTAATTTGGCTAACAGTGTTAATAATATGTTTTAATTTGATCCTGATTTATTTGAGTAGCTTCGTTATCTTTCTGTTTTACCCCGGAAAATATCAATAACATATTCTGTTTCAGTAAGGGATGAGCTTGTTACATGCTCTCCGTTTGCACGCAGTAACGCATTGGTGTCTGCAAGACGCAGAACAAGATACACTTGTAATCCATTTTCAGTAATCGCATATACCAACCTGGAAGTGGTTATATCCTTGGTGTTTATCTAATTACGATACCGGACACATCATGTAAAGACTGAAGCTGATGTCTTATGGTTGCAGCCACTTGTTGTATAATTGATGAGTCGGGAGAACTCCCTAAGCTGCTAGTCCAGAGCTTGTGTGGGACCCTCTCCTTATCTTATTAAGACAGTGACATGACCCACAACTTAATTAAGCGTCTAGTTAGTCGGAATACCTGGCATGACCCATGACCAGTTACTGATCGTCTTAGGAAGTGGCGTTAATGCTCTTACCCGGCTCCTGGGTTAACATACCAGAGTGGGGTTGTATTGTCACTGGTAGGATTGATAGTATTTCAAAAGCTTACGGACAACATGGTCACTGCCTTTTTTTGTCCATATTTGTTTATTTTTTTCTTTAATGTTGTGTAATGTTCCAAACCGTTTGGATATGATGACACACAATCAACAAGGCTACCGAACCTGACCTCCCAATCCTTTTAGGATCAGCATTGGATGCTGGGGATCGATTAAAAAACACTTTACCTGGAGGTGTCATTGATTGCACATTTTAGTATTTATATTGATTAATAATAAAAGTGATCATTTTAAAAGTTTGGATGTATGGTTATGTGGTCCTGTGATTAATCAGTTAAATGCTAAATATGAACTAGGCTGACCGATTATATGCGTAAGGCCTTCTCATTGTCCATATTAGTTGGTACTCATAATAAATGTAAACGTTTCTCTGGCAGTGATTTAGTAATTTAGTATTGATATTCATAAATCTGTATCGATATAGTATCGACATCAATGATTTATGGCTATTGTGATATACGATGACCTCTCTTGTGCTGCCTCATAGAAATACTGGAAGTAGAACACAATTGGAGTGGCTTTCTTATTGTTGTGAATAGCTGCTATGTTGACATAAAACATCGTTGACTCGCACAGCTTCGAGCTGAAGTAGTTCCTGATTAGCTCTCTCAGGATAACTTGTGATGATGAGGAAGAGCAACTTCCGCCTGTCAGGCCAGCCTGCATTCACATGCACACTTTCACATCAACTGTGCTGAAGGCCATGGGGTTAAAGATGCTCCTTGAAGCTTCCTATATAGGATTTGTATTCTTTCAATATTTAGGTAAAAAGAGTCGCCAGAGTTGGAATTAAGCAGGAAATTGAAGGTGTTCATGTCATGACTCTAATGTTAAAAAGTTGAAGATTTAGGGGGTCCTGTGATTCAAATATTATATCAGATATCAAGAAGCCCTGGACCCTCCTTAGTTTCGAACACTGCCAATTACCATGTTGACCAGTTGGTGAGGTGAGGTGAGGTGAGGCGAGGCGAGGCGAGGTGAGGTGAGGTCGTGTTTACGATTATTGCACTTATATGGTGATGGACTTGCATACAATGTGTCTGTCTGTCTGTCCAGACTTATGCCGGTATTATAGTTCTAGCCCATTGAAACCCTAGCAACAGTTTAACATGGATAGGCACAGTAGACTTTTGTCTCGGAGCCGACCAATGCTTCTTTTATCCCGTCAATTCCAAGTGCAAGGCATGGTAACAAGTACCATCTTTTACCTTCTTTTGGTACGATGCAACCAAGGGTTTGAACCACTAACCTTCCACTCACTGGGCAGCTGGTCTATCCCCTAGACCACAGAGACGGTCTATCAGCCTGGAGATAGTTATGTGAAACATATCTTTCCTTCTGACGCCCACATGTCCAACACATCAAAGTCACACATCCAAGTCATACATCCAAGTCATACATCCAAGTCATACATCCAAGTCATACATCCAAGTCACACATCCAGGTCATACATCCAAGTCACACATCCAAGTCATACATCCAAGTCATACATCCAAGTCACACATCCAAGTCATACATCCAAGTCACACATTCAGGTCACACATCCAAGTCACACATCCAGGTCATACATCCAAGTCACACATCCAAGTCACACATCCAAGTCACACATCCAAGTCACACGTCCAAGTCACACGTCCAAGTCACACGTCCAAGTCACACATCCAAGTCACACGTCCAAGTCACACGTCCAAGTCATACATCCAAGTCATACATCCAAGTCATACATCCAAGTCATACATCCAAGTCACACATCCAAGTCATACATCCAAGTCATACATCCAAGTCACACATCCAAGTCATACATCCACTACACTTCCAATGTAAAAGGTAGATATCTACTGACGCATTAACAACTATTTGTTGGACCATGGCCAGCCAGGGGATGGTACCACCGACCTTCCACTCTCTGGGAAGATGCTCTATTCACTCGACCATGAGTGATGAACTGTAGCAGTATGAAAGACTCAGGTGTTCTTTAACTTCTCTTTAGTAGAATATTTAGGGATGAGGGATTTTTTTCACTCCATTGAGATATGAATTGAAAAAACGATGTTCAAACGTTTGTAAGAATCGGTTTTTCAATTCATAATTCAAGGACTGAAATTACAATGAACACAACAAAAATTTAATTGTATTCCAATGGCAGCACTGTGGTAAGATGAATGTTTTCACTAAACCGTGAGTATTTGACATGCCCCTGGTATGGTTGACAGTCCAGCTACCTACCAGGCAGTTTCATTGGTAGCCTATCAGGAGAGCTGTGGCTTTCACAGGCTTATCACTGCTAGTCTATGTGCTCCTGGAGTGAGCCTTTCAAATCCCAGGTTTTTGTAATTATGCCCATTAAATCTATGATGGATTCGTAGATCAGGACGGTGGGATTGCAGTTGAAGGAGGGCTGTTTGAAGTGATGGAGATGGTACCAGAGAAGTAGTAGATAGGAGTTTCATATCAAGATGTGTTTTTCCAAGATGCCATGTTCAGTGCAGTTTGTGCCAAAAACTTTGAAACTACTAGCCTGAACCTGGCTGGAAGTGTCATTTTCAGTGGAATATGGTGTTATTGTATGGATTATTATTATCTGCGCTTATGAGTGTCATCTGAGTGGCTAACGTATCAGACTGTTAATGTATGTACAGGACTCACACTAATTGGATTCTTTCTTGAAAGGCTTTGAAAAGCCCTGAATTTTCCAAACCAATACTTATCTCATGTAAATTACAAAAAATTAAAGTTAAAAAATATATGTTGAAATATGTTAAACATATGATCATCTGTTTGAAGTTGGAGGAGGGAGCCTTGTGTTGTGTTACTGGTATTATAAGCCTGAATTCTGTATGAAGCAAAGACTGGCAAACTGGGTTTCACCGAAGTGGTAAACGTCTGAGACCTACATCACTTCGGGCTTTCCTCCCACATTAAGCTGACACACCGTGATATAACTGGAATACTGTTAAAAGCAGCATTAAACCTAACTCACTCTAATGAATCAAATAAGTGCCTACCTTGGGGATATTTACATCAGGAAGCAACTGATTATGACTTTGAGACAGGGATTTAAGATTGTTCAAGATATGTTCAACTATACAACTATACTTCTCCGAAAACCAGGCTTGTGTATGTTGACCACAGACGCAGCTAAAAGTTATTTCAGTGAACACATTACTGGACAGACTGACGTACATGGGAGCAGAGATTACATACCAGATGCTGGATATACACTTGTAGGAACTGGTCTTATGTTTTCTTAATGTGGCCTTAAAGAGTTCCGGGGATGGGTTGGCAAGGTCAACATGCCACTCACTCACCTGTTACAACAAAGGGGCACCAGACAATTTGCCACTCTGCGTCTTTAGCCAGTAGTCCAAAGCCTGAGTCCAAGTAAGATGTCTTCCAGTCTGGTATAACAGCTCATCACTGTCTAAGGGGCGGCCGGGTAGCCTAGTGGTTAAAGCGTTCACTCGTCACGCCAAAGACCCGGGTTTGATTCCCGACGTGGGTTCAAGACCTATTTGTACCCGGTTCTTCATAGGGTTCTCAGTTGTAATGATCCACAATACAGGGGTTCTGGACTAACAGGGTTTCAGTGTAGATGAGACCCGTGAAGATCCGGGGTAGAATAGGTCTTCTGCAACCCATGCTTGCCGTAAAAGGTGACTATTCCCGTATTCCCGGGTCTGATTCCCGACATGGGTACAATGTGTGAAGCCCATTTATGGTGTCCCCCGCTGTGATATTGCTGGAATATTGCTAAAAGCGGCGTAAAACCGTACTCACTCACTATTTTCGGACCGCTGTTATATGGCTTGAATATTGCCGAGTACAGCGTGAAACAAACAGATGAAAAACTATACCTTAACACTAAGACCTAAGGAAATGATACAAAGAAATGTATTTGGGCTAAATGGCACTGAAGTATTTGGCACAGACAGCTTTGGATGAAATATGAACTGTATGTTCCGAAAAAATGTCAACATTTATTGACAAGTTCAGCAATCCTGTACCTGTGGCTGTTTATTCCACACCCTGGTTGGGGAGGTCTGGAAAATAGACAACCGGCAGTGTTGAACTGGGGAAGGGATTTGTAGAAACAATCAACATTCTTCCATTTGCTATAGTTATTTTGTTTTGGAAGACATTGAGCTGTCAAATTACCAGAGACAAATGAGAAACGAATGATCCACTCCTTGCCTGGTGCATGGCATTGCTTCACAGGTAGCCTCGAGGACAGATTCAGCAAGTCCGATAGAATATTG